TATCACCATTTGCTTTACTATAAAATCAATAAGTCCCTTCTCTGAATTTTCGCATAAGAGAGAATGCTCCCAAAGATATTCAGATGTATGCTGGGGCTTTGTGTTTCCTCTGACACAGTGCTGAGTGCCCCCAAGGGTCTAGGTGCCTTGGAGAGAAGAACACAGGGTTAGATGACCAATGAGGGCCAATCTGGAGTTGGTATTTGGAACGTGGGTGACATTTCCCCCTACAGTCAGTGTCTCAGGGGTGGGTATCCTCAGGAATTGACCTGTGTCGATTCTTAGCCTGAGGAACAATAACCCCATTTGGGCCCTATGAAGTCTATGTGGAGCTTGACTGTATTGAAGAGAATGTGGCTGAGAAGTGTTCTTTCTGGTGTTTTGGTCAGCTGTTGCTGTGTAACAAACCACCCCAAAATGTAATGACTTAAATGTGTTGACTGAAATGTAATGATGATTCTGTGAGTTGGCTGGCATCAGCTGGGTGGTTCTTCTGCTCCCTGTGATACTACCTGAGCTACATATCTGTGGCCTTGGACTGGATTGAACCACCCATACATACACGTTGCTGGCAATTGGTACTGGCTAGGACCTAAGTTGGAGCTGTCAACCAGAGCCTTGAGTTGTTTCCACATAGCCTCTCTATATTGCTTGGGCTTCTCACAGCATGATGGCTAAGTTCCAAGAGCGCGTTCCAAGCAGACAAGCCCTAATGTGCAAGTAGCTCTTCGGGCCTCTGCTTGCATCATCCTTGCTACTGTCCTGGTGGCCAAAACAAGTCTTGTGGTAAAACCCAGAGTCCATGTGGGAGGAGACTACACACAGGTGTGAGTTCATTTGGGGTCATAGTCAACAGTCTACCATGATCAGGTAGGCATGAATTTGGGAGAAGCTTCATGAGACAACTGATTTTGGAAAGTGGTGTGCACCAGGGCTCACTCTGGTGCCCCTAGAGTTCTTGGTCATGCCATTAAGAGTGAATGGTGGCAAGGGACCCAAATCCCACGGGTATGAAATCTGTCAAGAACTGGAGGTGTGCCTGCCTATCAGCATGTTGGGGACAGTGTCTGGCCTAAGGAAGGACTCAAACACAATGTAGACCAGGGCTGGGAGGAATTCTGGGGTAGAGCAAACCAGGTTAGGATCACTACCATGCCCATGCCTGACACCTAGTAGGTCTTCAGTAAATTCTTAGTGAAGGATTGAAGGGTAGGTGGACAAATAAGTTTGGGGGACTTCATTAAGTGTTCTTTTGACTTCAGTTCAACTTATTAACAGTTTATAGACACTTACTATGTACCAGGCTTGATGCCAGTATTAGTGATGCAGGGATAAGTAAGACAGATTCCTTCTTGAATTGCGTATAACTTATGCATGTTGCAGATAGGTTGTCACTAGTTTCTTGGGTCTCTATCCAGAGACAGATGTGTGCATCCCTCTTTAAATAAACATGGTCACAAACTATATAATTATATATCTTGCTTTTTTAAAAAAAACAAAACTTTTTTTGGAGATAATTTTATATCTGATAGTCATATATAATAGAAATACAAACTGTGGTCTTTTAAATTTTCATCAAGTCAAGTTAGTGGGTCACCACAAACAATTTTTAAAAATGAAATAGGCTAGATAATGAGTGTATTGCACATAGCAAAGTCTTAGGGAATTTCTGTTTCGGTTACAGCAATCTGTATGTTTATGTGTAGTTTGTGTTGATCCGAAGATATTTCTTACCATGGGTCATGGCTGAAAAGTGTGAGATGCTGTTTTAGTGGGGGGAAGAATCTGTTTTCACTGAGAGGGTCTGCAAAGACCATGGAGAAGGTGGCATTCAAGCTGGGTCTGTAAGGACAGGTTCGGGTAGAAATGGGGCAGAGGGAGAGGGTTCTAATGGAAGGAACTATATGAGCAAAGCCACACAGGGCAGATGCCCCTGGGCCCAGCCATGTTTAGTGCTCTCTGCGCCTTTCCTGGGTATCAGGAGCAGGGCTCCCTGGCCTCCGCAGGCACAGAGAGGGGCCCTGAGGGGAGACAGGGCCCTTCCTGTCAGCTGCAGAAGATGAGCTTTCCTTCTGCTGCCTGGGTGTGGGGCCGCCCCGGCCTTCTAATATTGCACCCCAAGATTAAGTTCCCCATAGCCATCACCAAAGGGGTAGAGCCTGCCTCAGCTAGTTTAGCACTTGGCCAGAGCACAGCATCAGTTGTCTGCAGAGAGACTGAAGGAGTGGAACTGAGCATGCTCAGTTCTTCTTGCCAAATGCACCTGGGAGGAGTCCTTCCCCTCCCCTGAGGAGGAGTGTAAGGAGGGGCAGGCAGGAGTGTTACACTAGGGGAGCCCCCCATGTGGAAACAGGAGGAGGGAGGATATGAGTCCCTGCTGCAGGCGTCAGCAGAGGCCACAGCCCGCATTTTGCGTAAGTCCCACAGTGTTCTGGCGGCTGAGCAGACAAGTGCCCCAGGGTGTCCACAGGGAGGAGATTTCTAGAACAAGGAGCTACAGTCATGACATTCCTGTGTTCTGTCTTATTGTTTTCATATACTGGCTCATGAGAAAACCAAGAGCGCTGCTTATTTCTTCCCTGCATCTGCAACAGCTTTTCTTCCTGAGCTTTTCCTAGCAGCCTTCTGCAGCCGCGGAGCAGACCTGGAATGAACTGCAAATGTTCACGCCTCCTGTCTTGGCAAGGGAAGACTGTGCTTGGGAAGATGTGTGATGCCCCAGCCAGCCGGCTGCAGGGATAGCCAGGTGTGGGGTACCTTCCAAACCAGGGAAAGGGGTTTGCCCTGACCACACACTCTGTGGCAACTGTGTTGGCCATTGACCACCTCAGGGCAGAGGGTGGAGGTTTGCGGCAGGACTTAGTCAGCCCCCAGGATCCCGGTAGGTGTATGCACATCCTGCTTGCTATCCAGGAGTCCTGCCTGCCTCCCTGATCTCCTGAGTTCTTGGCTGAAGTGGCATTTAGCAATGACAAGCCTGGCAATTAAGCCCCTCGATGCCAGAGCTGGAAGATACTCAGAGGCTCTCCACTGCAACCTCCTGGTACAAATGAGAAAACAGGGACACAGGGAAGGACAGGGTTTCACAGCAGTGTGCAGCACAGCTGGACTTGAACCTGGGTCTCAAATACAAAGTATTTCGTGTATGGCCGTACCACCCTGAACATGCCTGATCTTGTCAAATATATGGTAAATACAGTGAGTGGTTGAGAACATGGGCTTTGTGGTCAGACCACCTGTGACCTAGGGGTTAATGGCCCTCTCTAAGCTCCAGTTTCCTCGGTGGTAAAATGAGGACGATTAATGATCGAGTCGGCCTCCAGGGGTGTTGGGAGGATGGAGCGAGAGGTCCTCAGAGCAGGGCTGGCTGGTGGAAATTGCTCAGTAAACGATCCTCATTTCTGTCCCCTTCGCCAGCACCTCCACCATGGCTCTGCTCCCTCCTCCGTGATTTTCAAACGCTGCATGGCAGCCTGGGGCTAGAAGGAGGGGGTGGGCCTCATGTATTGGATTAAACTTTCGGAAACCTTAGACTCCCCTTTTCCTGCAGATTAATCAAAGCAACAGAACTGGTGAGGGCCCGCCACCACTCTCTGCCCACTGCACTGCTGGCCTTGGGGCTGTTTGCGGGGTGGGAACATATGGAACCCCTCTTGAGTTCTGGCAAAGGTGGTGGGATTGGGGGGAGACGGCCAGACCAATTCAAGGAAACGCTGAGTTCTAGAATATTTGAACAGAAAGGTAGTTTTGTTACTTTCACATTCATGTGATAACTCTAGCCAAGTCTTCCCACTAATATGTCAATACAGGCTGGTCCTGGCTTGCTTTAGTGACTTGATGGGACACAATTACAATGAACAGCATCATTTGCATATGAGCAATGCACGTGTTAAAGTATTTATACCTTGGTGTTTTTGTAAGTAATAGTGCACACCCCTTACCTCCTAAATCCTTCTTTTTTTTTTGGTGGCTGGCCAGTAAGGGGATCTGAACCCTTGACCTTGGTGTTATCAGCACCACACTCTAACCAAGTGAGCTAACAGACCAGCTCTCAAATGCTGTTTTTAAAAATCATGTCTTCTTTATTAGTAAAAATGTCCCTAAAACCAAGATTAGAGGATCACAAATTCTAAATCAGTGAAGGTTAAATTAATGCAGTTTTATAGTGATAAAATGTGGACCCTGATACTCTCTGTGTTAGAGGAGACCTCAGAGTAGATCCTGAGCAAGCAGTGCTTTGCAAACTGTAATGCTTGCAGGAATCACCTACAGGGCTTGTTACAACTTGGAGTCCTGGGTCCCTCCTTGAAAGAGTCTGATTCAGTGGAGGTGGGGTGAGAATTTGCATTTCTCCCAAGCTCCTGGGTGAGGCTGATGCTGCTGGTCCATGGACCTCACCTCGGACTAGGCCATTCTTTGCCCGATGCCTTACAGAGCTCTATCCACTGGAAAGTTCTTCCTTTTATGGAGCCAAGATCCTCTTCATTTTGATGATCAGCCATTGGCTTCAGTTTGGTAACCTGGAAACACACAAATTATCCACAGAAATACCAGTGGGTAAGGATTTGGGTTTAAGTTGATAGAAGGCAGTTGCCTTCCCTGGAGACTGAAGACACGTGCCAAGGCCAATGGTCTTTTCATTGCTTTCTACATCTCATGCTCAAAATTGGACCAGGTTTGGCTTCTCATGACCAGAGATGCATTCAAGTTGAAATTCTGAGAGGAGAGAGGCCTGGGTTGGGGATGGCAGAGCCCCACTGTTCCTCCTTTTGCCCATGTGCATGCAGGGCACATGTGAGCATGAGTAAGCTGTTGGCTGAGGATCCAGGAGCCTCCCTTTTGACACAAGGTCTTAGGCAGCTGAACCAATATCCACCATCCATTCCGAGAACCTCCAACAAAACTCAGATGGTTTGGCTTTGAACACGTGTGCTTGAACAGAGCGAGCCCCCCTTTCTTGATGCTTGACAGCAGTCAGGGTCAGCTCAGTCATATCCTGATGTGTTCCTTGCGGAAAGTGAATCCATGTTGGGGCCTCAGGCATGGGCAATGAGGGCCACCTCTGAGTCCCATGGAGATCCCTTGGAGTGAGAACACAGGATGTTCATTGTTTTTCAATGGGAGGAGTGTGGTCTCATCTGAACTTCTGGGCTGGGCAATGGGCCTGCAGCTGTTGACATGAGCTGTAGAAGACCATCGCAGTTAGGACCCATCATGAGGACATGTGAGGGCTCCTCTTCGTACCTGTTGCCAAGGACTTAGACCCACTTGTCCCAGTTTGAAAGAATGAATATAAGATTTATGTGAGGCCACCAGATTTAACAGCTTCACTTTCCAGAGGATATTTCTTTCCTCATTTGTTACTGGTAATTTATCCCCCCTGTTCCTGCCCCACTGAAAGAAAACAAAAGCCAAAAGCCCAGGTCCACAAAGACCTTCACAGAGCAAGGGAGTGATGGAGGAACCACTGGGAGATGTGAAACAAAGGAGGCTTCTCTGATTCCCTCTGAGCGCAGCAGACATGAGCGCCATAATGCACTGACTCACTCACTGCTGACTCCTCTGCTCATTCATTCACTTGCTCACGCTTTCATTCACCCTTTGACTGACTTAGCCGTCCACTAACCCTCTGGTTTATCACCCATCCACTCATCCATATATCCATCCATACATCCATCCATCCACCCACCTAACCACCCACCCACCTAACCACCCACCCACCTAACCACCCACCCACCTAACCATCCACCCACCTCACCACTCCCCCACCTCACCATCCGCCCACCTCACCACCCGCCCACCTCACCACCCGCCCACCTAGTCACCCGCCCACCTAACCATCCACCCACCTAACCATTCACCCATCCATTTAACTATATACCCAACTACACATCCGACTATACACTCATCTATCCATTTTTCTAACAATCCAACCATTCATCTATACAACTGTCCAATCATTCATCTGTCAAACATTTTTTAAGGACCCATGTGTGCCACGTGCTAGGAATACAGGTTTCAAAAACACAGGGTTTTGTGTCCAAGGGGCTTATGTTCTACTCGGAAGGACAGGTAATCAAGGCGGATACATGCCAGTCCTTAGACGTAGCTATGGAAAACATGTGACTTTATTTTCCATGTTTCAATTTCTGTTTTGAGCCTATATCTTTCTAGGCTGGCAAAGAACTTTACCCTTAATCATGTTTCAAAGCTTCCGTTTTCTCCCTGAGGATGTCTGAAGACTGTGGAAGCTGCATTGTGCCAGGGCTTTGGGGGGAGGAACCATCTGGTCTTTAAGTGATGTGTCCTCATGTTTCAGCTGAGTCGTCCTTGGGTCCCACTACCCTGGCCCTGACTAGATTTTGTGCTTGGGGAAGTCTTTCTGCATGGCTGCCCATGGCTGCATCTGCCTAAAGCAGTGATTTCTTAACTTTGGCTGCACATTTACATCACCTGGGGAGGTTTTAGAAAATACTCAAGTGCAGGCCTCACCCCAGAACAATTAAACCAGAGACTTCAAGAATGGGATCTGAGCTTTAACATTTTTATCTGTAACTTACTCCAGAGTATTCTATTGTGTAGCCAAGGATGAAAAGGAACAGTGACGAAGCCCACACACCCCTCCCCTGTGCCTACCCTTCTTCTCTGTGCCTCCAACCTGGGCAAAGGACGGGGGGTGTCTCTTTTTAGTCTGGGGATAATTTCTTTCCTTTTATGTTTCCGAACAAGATACTTTGTCTATGTCCCAAATCTGCTCCCACTGAGATGAAGAATGGCCAGAGATTCTGCTTTCTGCCCAGCTACATCCCTTCCTGAGCGATGCACTTAGGAGAATGTGTTTGCATGAGGATGAAGGAAAAAAGGGAGGTGGAGAAGCAGGGAGGGAGAGGCAGAAGGGGGGATGGAGGGAGGAGAGAGGGAGAGAAGCTCATAGAAATCCTGCCAGTCAGATGGATGCAGCAGCCAATACCAGTGGTGAGATGGGTACGAGACTGTGCTTACCTGAGGCACTTTGAAGGAGTCAGGGAGGTGTCTTTGTAGAGAGGAGTCCAGAGCTCTGAGAACCTAGTCTTTGCCCTTAGCTTCCATCGCAGAGCTATCCCCAGAGTGACTGACTCTCCCACTTGGTTCTGAGCTTCTCTAGGTGCGGCCTGTGTCTGTTCACTGTTCTGTCCCTGGAGTCTGGCTCAGGGCCTGGCCTAGTGATGGAGCTCGTGGCATGTGCACTGGGTGAAGGACGGTGGAGGCAGGGCATGACCGGCTCTCCAGGAGAGGGCTCTGTCCCCCCACCCTCCATCCCCTCAGCAGGCCAGGGGCAGAGTACGGTGCTCACAGGAGCCTGTCCATTGCCCAGGTTGTGTGGATCACAGCCACGCTGCCCTACCTTGTGCTGTCTGTGCTCCTGATCCACGGTGTCACGCTGCCCGGTGCCTCCAATGGCATCAACGCCTACCTGCACATCGACTTCCACCGCCTGAAAGAGGCTACGGTCAGTGCCTGGGGACCCACCCAGCCTTGGGCCAGGGTTGGGGGAGGGTTCCTGGGGACAGGTGGTGATGGGCAATCTGGTCCCAGCTCTGCCACAGACTTGCAGTGTAGACTTGGACAGGAAGGATCCGTCCCTCTGTGAGCTGCAGCTTTTCCATGTGACCAGTGCCAGTTGCATGTGACAGTTCCCATGAGCCTGTCCAGCTCTGATGGTCTGAGGCTCTGTGGTTTTATTTAGTGGCCTTCACAGACCACTCTTCTCAAGGAAGACAATACCCTGTGAAGGAGACATGATGTCCTGGGTCCTTGCTCCTGTCCTGTGCCCACCCCAGCCACCCCAGCCCTATTTCTGCTCTCTGGTCCCCAACCTGGCCTTTATCACCATCCTGTGATGTCAGCATAAGGAGCAGCCTCAGCCACCAGGACTCTGCCGACTCTATCCCCCAACAGCCTCCTCCAGCTGAGGCCCAACGTATGATGAAGGCTGGGTGCATTTGGTGGTGGAGTGCACGGCAGTGGGGTGAGGGTGGGAGTAAGACGATCTCGGGGGTGCCCGGTGCCTTGAGCTTCTTCACATAGTGGCTGAGATTACTTCCAGCTTCCCCCAGCAGGCCATCTGCAGTGGGAACACCTTGACATTTTTTCTCACGATTCTCAAGGGCTTCTTCACACTTTATTTGCAATAATCCTGGCAGGCAGAAGCGATGGAGGATGAGGAGGGATGCATCCCAGTGTCCTCCCCCTGTCGTTATCCTGTCCCAGCACACCACACCGTTGTAGACTGATAACCAAGAGAAAACCTGTTTTCTTAGTAAGAAAGATAACAGATAACAGAGCATAAGACAGGAGTCAGCCTTGTAAAGTATGAAACCGATTGGACTCCTGTGTGTTCTGCAGCTACTTAACTTTCCCAAGTCTGGCAGACATGTGGAAACCAAGCCCTTGGTGTGGTCTCAAGGAACAGCCTAACCTTCCCCCGTCTGATCACTTCTTGTTATTCCCTCTGTTTGCAAAGGTTGGAATAACACAAGTGGGGAGGTGACAGAAATCTCTGACATGTGAATTGCAGCTTGCAGTCTGGGTGGGCTAGATTATCCCCACTCTACAGGTGAGCAAACTGAGATATAGAGGTGAAGTCGGCCAGAGCTAGACCATGAGGCAGAGGGGCTGGAGAGGAACTCAGAACATCAGGCCTCCAGCCATCTGCTTTCATCACCCAAAAGATGGAATAAGGAAAGCCCTTTGGCCCCATGGAGTGACCTATGTCTGTGGGCTGGTAGAAACCTACTAGGAATCATTATCCCTTTCTGAAGACGTCATCTCTACAACTCCCGAGATAGTCATAATCCTTTGCTCTTGCCCCATTCGTGTTCTAGACTTGAACCTTTAGTTTACTGACTTTCTTTGGAAATCAGGACATCAAATGGAGCCAGGAAGTTCCTGCAGGGTGAGCTCACTCATGACTACTGGGGCCAGGAGATGCAAGATTGGCCCCAGCCTCTCTCCATGGCTGTTTTGTATGGGCTTTGGGAAGGAACGACAGCCACCCATCTCTGGTTCAGACCACGTTTCCTCAGGTCATAGAGCAGCCCTGGGCTTTGCCAGCCCACCTGGAGCAGTGAGGTAGTCTGATTCTGTAGGAAGCAGAGGGTGACGGCTTTTGTCTGCCGGTTTCAGGTATGGATTGATGCTGCGACACAGATATTTTTTTCCTTGGGGGCTGGGTTTGGAGTCTTGATTGCATTTGCCAGTTACAACAAATTCGACAACAATTGTTACAGGTAAGATCCTTCTCAGAGCTCTAGAAAGCTCTAAACATCCTGGGGGTGGATGCTTGCGGGGATGGGAGAGAAGACGCTGGTCTGGAGGATGACTCCCCTTGGACAAGCCAAATTTTCTTCTTGTGGACCATCCTTGGTGTCTGTGAACTCTGACATGGCCTGTGGGGGTCCTTATGAACATGTTTCATCTCAGGGCAACTCTTAGACATATGTAAGGTGCAGAGATGGGCAAGTAGAGGTTGCAAGCACTGGGAGATCATGAGGATGGGAAGCTGGGACAGAAGGACACAGTTTAGCTCTCAGAGAAGACAGCACAGCCTGACTGTGCCATCTGATGCCCAGGCAGGCAGGGGTGGAATATCCAGGCTGGTGAGTGCCTGGCAGGGTCAGAGGTAAGACTGCAGAGCAGTCGGGGTGTCAGAAGACCATGCTCTGGCTCAGTTCAGTAAGCATTTAATGCTGCCTCCTGCAGGCCCAGTGCCGTGAAGATTTCAGACATGGGCACAGATTTGGGCCCACCTCCATCTCTCTCCATCAGAGGCTTAAGGCAGCGTCACAGTGTCTTTGGTAGTGGACAGAGCAGATTGAATACATATGAGCGGGTCAGGCTATAGGGAGGTAAGGATATCGGATGATCAGCCCCCAGATGGGACCAGCAAGATCATGGAGGTGAATTTGAGGTGAGCCTTGGAGGACAAGTAGAATTAAGCCAGGCAGACATGGAGTGGACAGCATGGAAAATAAGCCTACAAGAAAGGTTGGGTTATTTTAGCAAAGCTCTGACTGCCAAGGTGAAGTGGGAGCACTGGGGAGCCACAGAAAGTCTGTTGAAGAAGGAGGCTGGTGACTCAATTCCCCAAAGGAGTTTGACCCCAGACTCTGGTATCATACTGTTTCACCCATAAGCTGTTAACCTACTTCCTGCACCAGCAGGTACTGACCTGGTGATGATGGGCACTGGGGTCCATGTGGCAGCAGAGCGACTGAAGGGGGAATGGCATTTGAGTCTGGGTTCAGGCTGCAGATTCCATAGATGGTCAGTGGGCGGGTTGGGGGGAGTCAAGTGATGTGAACTAACAGTGCTTCTGTCCCCTAGGGACGCCCTGCTGACCAGCACCATCAACTGCATCACCAGCTTCATCTCTGGGTTTGCCATCTTCTCCATCCTTGGTTACATGGCCCATGAACACAAGGTCAACATTGAGGATGTCGCCACTGAAGGTGGGTGGGCAGACCACTTTGGCCCCAGCCCACTGAGACGGGGGCTAAGAAACCCACCTCATTCTTGGCTACACAGCTCTCCTGTGGCTGGAGGACTGCGAGGTGGGCCATGGAGCTTTCCAAACCACCCATTTGATGGATCATCAGTGGGAATTGCAGGCAATCCTGGGACCTGGGTATGTGATAGCAGCTTCCTCTGAGTCAGGGTAGGAGGGACAGATTTTGGAGTATCCGCTCTGTGGCAGCCCCTGTGCTAAGCACTTGGCACACCTCCATGTAGTTCTCCCAAGGCTGCAAAGCAAGTGTTAATAGATTCATTCTAAAAATGAGAAAACTGAGACTCAGGATAAATAAGTTGTCCAGTGTCACCCAGCTAGCGAGCAATGGTGCCAGCATTTAAAGCCTGATCAGTCTGACTCTGGAATTTGTGTCCTCCCCCACCGCTTCTCATATTTTTGTGGCCACAGAGAAGTGAGACCTGGGGAGGGGCTGTCCCCCATGGACTCTGAGGGTCACAAGATTTTGAGAATGAGCGCGGATCCGTCCCGGTGTTTAGGAGGTAGGCTCTCAGCATGCAGCCTGTAGCTGTCTCCTGGTGCACTGCTCCCTAGCCCGGCTGTTCAAGGTCAGCATCCTAGATGTGCAGGTGCGAGTCTGTGCTGGCTTCATCTGTCATCTTCAGATCCTCAGTCTGCTCTGCCTACATGTGGCTGACCAAGTGTCATGGGGCTAGGCTGGAGCTGATGAGGCCTGAAAATGCTCTCTTACCATCTGCATCTCAGACCAACAGTCCCAGCTGTTGATAAGGTCCTTGATGTTTCTTACAGGGGCTGGCCTAGTGTTCATCCTGTATCCAGAAGCCATTTCCACCCTGTCCGGATCTACATTCTGGGCTGTCGTGTTTTTCATCATGCTCCTGGCTCTGGGCCTTGACAGCTCAGTGAGTGACCCTGCTCAGGACCCCCCCACCCCCGGGTCTGACCCCTCTACCCACCAACATATACACAGTACTTGGCCTGAAGTTCCCATCTTTCAAACTCCTGATTAGAAGTTGTTTCCAGAAAGTCCTATTTAAATGCAAGCAAAGAAATGAGTCCTTACTCAAAAAGATATGACTTAAGCCAAAGCCACGGATCATAAGAACCTCATTGGCATCATAAAAACCCAAATCAGAAGGGACTTCAGATAAGCCAGGCCAACACTCTCCTCTTGCAGACTGAATTCAGAGGGGACACTGATAGAATCTTCCTCTCTAACCAAGCATTTTCCCATTATATTTCATCATCAAACACCAACGAAAACATCTGAAGCTCATTAGTTTCTTAGATCCCATTATTTTACCCATATGGAAGATTGTAGTTACTGGCATCTTTTTATACGTGTGTCCATTCTTAATACATCATGCCTGGAAGTTTGCAAAAAATCTTTGGGTAGCACTGGCAAATAGTTTCCTCTCACTGTCTTTTCCTTTTACTTGGTAGATCTGCCAGGAGCAGGGTGTTGAGAAGGATTCTGAGGCTGCTTCCAGACTTATAGGGAAGAGAATGGATTTTGATTAACAGTGTCTGCCAAGAGGAGAGGAAGGGAGAGAGGCAGCTGCTTGTCTGCTTCTTATCTGCCATGGCAGTGG